ATATATATATCTTCATATATATATTTATCTGTGTGTGTGTGTGTGTGTGTGCCCCCTACCGTGACTCTTTGTTTGACAAAGTTTGTAAGACCCCTGTGGTCAAGGGTTAGATTTCGCCTATGTGCGAGAAGAAATTCTTAGGCACATGAGGTTGTCAAGAGCCTTGTATAATAGCCTCAGACTAATCTTTTTATTTAAAAAAAATGATGCATATAATCATCCAAAATTATAATATTTGTTAGTGTTTATAACTTTAGTCTAGTTATGAATAATTTTTAATACTAATCAAATGTCTCAACGAAACCTTTAGCCACTACAACTTTTTATATTCCCATATTCTGTGACCTATATAGCGTGCATAACTTATCTTAAGTAGCTGAAAGTTTTGGTACAGAAAGCACATATCATTGCCTTCTTCAAAAACCAATAAAATTTGTTCATGAGCTTTCTAAAAAAAATTTCTGCCAATTTGATGGTTAAAATTTCATTTTATCTTTTTCTTTGGATTAGACATCAAGATTGTGTATGATTATATATTTGTTTGATAACTTGAGACTTCACAAACCATAATGATCCTCAAGCCTCATTCATCAGCCCTTGAACTGTTGCATGACAAGCCCTAGCCTCAACAGATCAATAAGGCTAGAGTAGAGATCAAATCATATGACTTCCCCCCTATTCAGGGGCAAGCATGCCCCAAACCAACAATATCATTAATTCAAATCAGATACGTTTTAGTATGAATACCATAATACTCATATAAAAAATAATTAAAAAAAATAATATTTCAAGAGATATCCTAATAAAGGCAATGACTTTCAATCATAGATAATTCTAAATTATTAATCATTAATATTAGTGTCCATCAATAATTTTTCTAAGTGCTCATAATCCATTAGCCAATTTAGCGCAAATCAGATGCAAAATTAAAATCTTCTAATTATGAATTCTATAAAAATAATATTTCGAGAAGTTTCTTCATTTTATTAATCCAACATTTCTAATATATCTACGATAATAATACTAATTATCATATAAACAATGGAAAATAATTAAATAATTAAATAATTAAATCGATGCTAGCGTAGCTCAAGGTACGTCCAGGTCCAGGCCACTTGCTACCAAGCCAAATCCTGGACGTAAGTGTTGATAGAAGCTTCCATGACCTTGACACACTACCGTTAAAAGGTCGGTGGGGCTTCAGTTTCTAGAAGATAGGCTTTCCGCTACGGAAAGAATATTCAAAACTAGGGAAAAGAGGGAGAAAGATTTTAGTCCCACACACACAGATACAAACTAATACCGCATAATTATTATAGATTTACATTTCTAACAAGTAAAAATTAAATGTTACATTTACAAATTTTTGGTGTCTTAAACTTACGAATGAAAAAATGTCTATTCCACCTTTATAAAAATAATGATAATGGCAATGACAAGTATAAAAAAAATTTCATGTTGAAGGAAAATCTAACTATTTTTAAAAATACTCTTATTTTTAAATATAAATTAATAGTTTTAGTTATTAATACATATAATATATCATCAAAAGGTTTCCACATCTAGCACAAATCTCGAGGATATGATAGAAATCTCGAGATAATTTTTAATAAAAAGTCAACTAGAACTTTAATTTCAATAAACTTATAGTCAAACTGACTGGCTCAAAGAGATAGACCTAACAGTGTCAACATTGATTTAAGCTGAATCAAATCAAACCCCGATCAAGACTTTAAACTATATTTGGAATTTTTCCGGACATATTTAGAAGGTTAAACAGATGTCGAATCCGACGAGTTCATAGTCGAATCAAGTGTCTCGACAAGACAAATCCAAATCCCAAGATATCTCAATTACAACATTGTTAAGGTGCTCAAAGGTCCATCAAATGCCGACTAATCAATGGAAACACTCCAGACAGTCCGATCAAAATGGTTCATATTCTAACAATAATTGCACCCAAAACTCTAAAAATTGAACACCCCCCGCTCATGGAGAAGAGGGAGAGCTTAAGGCTTGCAGCTTGAGGAAGAGCTGGACGTCTTGAGAAGGAACTTAAGTTCAGTATTAATTCTGTTGTCGTTGAACACTACTGACCTCCGTTGACCATCTTTGACTACCACCTACTAGTCGCCGCCTATCGCTATCGGTCGCCACTAGTCCCTCACAACAGGTTCATTGGTATGTGGACATTGTAACTTGGGGGAGACCTTGAAACATTTTCACACCTGTGAGACAAGTGGTCGCAACTATAGTCATCATTTTTTAATTGAACTTTTCTGTCGAGTTAAGCCTAGTGGTTTTTCATTTTCTGGGTTTTCCACATAAAAAATTATGGTGTCACTAATAATTATTTTCTCTCTTCTGAGTGTGTGTCACCAACTATGATCTATGTTGCTCACAACTCACAGCTCACACAGCTTCCTACTCCACCCTCTGCAGCCTATTGACGTTATAGCAGATCACCATTGTGGCTAACATGACTAACTACATCTTACGTGGTTCATAGCTCATGCAACTCTCAGTTCCGACCTTTGTGGCTTACAAATGTTATTTCAGT